TTGTACCTTACCTTTAAATTTACCTAAAATTTTACTCGTTTTTTTGTCAGCTAAAATTGAAAAATAATTCAACCATTAGATTGATCTTCCTAGCATTGATTGTTAGTTTTGCCACTAATTATCATTAACACGTTATATGTATATAGATACGTGATTATATTTATTCTTACTAATATATTAAAAAATAATTTAAATAATACATAAAAAAATAATATTTTTATCAGCGAATTCAAATATTTATTAACAAATTTGCATATAAGTACATTTCATTCATCGTTCTACTTTAGAGATTCAATAAAGGCTATTATTATCATCAATTAACCGATCGAAATTGAAAGGTAAGACACTTTAATTTTACTACTGTAATGTTCTAGCTAACTTATTTCTTTATTCTTTTACTTTTTCCTGTCTGTTTCTTGACAAACAATAAGTAATTATTTTTTATATAAAATTATTTAAAATAAAAGTAATTCCTGTTATTCTTGCATATTTATACTGCTTTTCTTTACTTCCATTTTAATGTAAAATATGGATTCTGTTGTGTTGTTCACTTATCTCACTTGTCTGTCAGTAACATCAGAACGAGCTCACGAAATTCTTAGTGGCAAGGATTGCAAAATTGCGCCTATCGTTGGCAAAAGCCTCGAGCACTATACAGGTGACAATACGACTTCTTAAAAAATAACAATACGGCTTCTTTAAAAATTAGGGGCTCAGTTCCGCCCCTAATTTTGATGGAGAGCTACCTGGAGGAACGAGTCCGATGGACTCTCGCCTTCTTCCCTTACCACCAACCTCTCGAGAGGACTTTCAGCTCGCCTCCTATTTAGGGTTCCCCATCACACTATATATTTGCAAACATACATGCCTTCTCCGGGATTCGAACCCGTGCCCGTAAGTACGGCAGTCAATGCCACTGACCACTATTCCGTTTGAGTGGCAAAATATTGATTCTTAGATAAAAATGGGAATTTTGAAAGAAAAAGGAACACGTACTTCTTCAGATGCATCTGCGGTTCGAGTAAAATGTGCGATTCCATCCAAAAAGGAAGTGTCACGGAAAAGCACAGTTAATGCAAAAGCATGAGAGAGTTATCTGAGGCTTTACGTGTACTGGCAATAAAAATGCCTTCAATGCAGTGCGTGTTGTATGTAATAAAATTCGAATTAATAGTTTTTTGGCTCTTGTTAAACTTCTTAAGCATTTCAAATCCTGATTACAAAGAAAAAAAACTATGCATTTCTTTAAGAGACAACTTAATTTCCTGACCAAATTTCAACTTCAAATAATAAAAATTGCTAAAACTGAAAACAAAATGAGAGCATAGGCTATAAGGTATTTCTCCCGCCTTCTTGGCATGCCTTCGTGGTGTGGTGGTCTGCACGCTGGAAGCGTATTCCAGAGGTCCCGGTCGAGCCCGGAAAGACGTTGTCATTTCACCGCCTGCTCCTAAAAATTACCGAATATCTCTATGTGGCCCCCGAACTAAAAGGGTGGTGATGATGATTCTCCATACCCAAGATTTGGCATTGGTTCTTAAAATCCAGTCGCCTTTTAAAGGGGAGGATTAAGGTAACCTCCCGTCTTCTTAGCATCTTCGAGTGTAGGGGCCTGCACCTCGCCGCGTATCCGGGAGGTCCGTGGTTCGATTCCCGACGAAGGCGTGCTCATTTTTCACATCTCCTGCTTTCAAAAAATACCTAATGTCTCTACAAGGCATCCTTTCGCAAGCTGCCACATTGCACTTAATGGACGTGCAACGGAAAGGATAGTAAAGCTTAAAATCATAATAACTGGCTAATTAACATAAGATACGTTACATCTTTAAAATTTCTGTTGTGTGATTTTTGAGCACTCTTTGTTAATTCCCCAGTCATCGGCATAGCAAAATGATGTTATTTTAGATATGTAAATAAAAAAAAAACGCGTAAACCGTGGGTAGAATATGGTATAAAAGAACCTAGCCGTACTATAAATGTACACTCTGAGTTTGTCGATGCGCTAATTGTGTGACCGCTGGATACAAATATTAAATGATAAGCAGTTTTTAAATCAAATTAACATTTACCTTTAACATGCGGGAAAAAAGGTCTTGCCATGTTTCTGTAGCAACAATTGCCAAAACTACGCTTAAACTTTCCCACGATTAATTCTGGTTTTTTACTAGAAAACCTTTGAGGTTTTTTTCGCTCAATTGCCTCTTCTTCGTCTCCTCAGGTTAGCCACGTTTTCACTGGAAATTGGTTAGCTGAGTTAGCAGGCTTTCACAGAAGTATGTCCATCCATATAATACTGATATTCCAAATTGTAAGCTTTCAGTCTTCATTTATTTTTTTATCATTTTGTCAAAAGAATTAAGCCTTCTATTTGTTTCCCACAAATGTAGCTTTGCTGTACAGATAAAGTATCAGTGACAGAATTACATACCATCAATAACTGAAAAAAATTGAATTATGACCTACTGAAATTGATCTCGCCGTACTGTAAAACACTGTCGCGCAGAATTTTTATTTCTTTACCTATTCTGCTTTTTATTCTTTACAGAAGTTTTTGCTGATTTTTTATTGAACTTTGTGTTTAAACTAGAATGCCTTGTGCCAAATTATTTCAAAATTACTTCTATAAAGGTCACATACTAATGAAAGTTTACAAAAGATGATATAAGCACGGCTGAATAATGGGCTTCAGATCCATGGAATTACTTGTTAATCAGAACTATGTCCTGAAGAATCACGGAATTTCCATTTTATAACTAAGCATTTTGCCAGTTCGCCTTGTCTAAGTGAAATTATACTTTCCATTGCAATAAAAAAGTTCAGCAATGTAATGGTCAATAAATTGAGCAAGAAAGATTTTGATTTGGATATAATTTTTCCCCTTGTTACTTACGAAGAATATTTTAAAGATACAAATTTAAACTAAATTTTAACCTAAAATACAAATTCAAACGTTTTATTACTAAACGCAAAAGGATAAATATGTGTTAAAACATACATACTTCACTTATCCATAAGAAATAGTCAGTTTAGTCAAAGGATCGTAAATCAGATCAAACTGCATCCTAAAAAAGGCTTCGATTAAGAATTCCCTCCCCCCCCCAACAGGCAACAGTCACTGAAATGGCCATTTCTAATTAAAGTGTGAATAGAAGTAAAGTAGTTTGGGATTCAAAACATTCATTTTGATATTAGTATTACAAATATTTCGATTCATATTATAAATAACGCGAGCGCCTTTATAAACAACGTGACGCACAGTCTGCTAGCGGAGACTTGAAATTGAACTTAGCAAAAGGACAATTTGAGAATCACTGCCATAGAGATACAAATGTAAATCCCATGCATTATGCCGTTTTCAAGGCCTAGCTAAGACAAAAGAATTGACGTGTTTCACTTTGTTTTCTTTATTACTTATAAAAAGGGCATACTCTCTTCCTTTCGTTTGACATGTTTGGAAAATCAGAATCTACCAAGCCAAGAATTAATTAACACATACTTTAGATGCTTTTCTGCGTAAATGAAAAGTTGTCCAAGCTCAAATTATTTTCTTGCATGAATGCCAATGTGTTTTATGTATGTTGATGACCTGCTAGTGCAGTCAATAACTACAATCCGTGCTATTAAGTTCCATTATAGAGGCAAACTTCTGTCTCCTTTTATGAGCCTGAGAATTTAGGAAGTTAAGGAAATTTAAAATTCAACCAATTTGCGAAATTTTACTTTTTCTCTTACTCATTTTCGGCCTTTGAAGAACTTGAGTTCTAAAAAGGAGAGAATGTGCAGCCTTAATTCGTAAAAAGAATATGCAGCTTTAGTTCGTAAGACAGAAAAAAAAATTAGCATTAATTTTATGGGATCCTTTTCCGGACCAAATAATTTAGAGGTTCGTAGAAGTGCACTCTATTTTCATAGATGATTAGAATTTTTCGTCATTTACCCAGTTAACTGCAGTTTTAGAAGTATGACCTTTTCATGATAAAAGGAACATTTTTGTATTGTCTAATTATATTCCTCACTGAATTATTATTAGCATCTAGGACTGATACGTAATGAATTACTATAAAGCACTGAGGAAAGAAGTATAATTATATATATAAAACCCATTGTTTTAATAGTAAATACTCAGTGAGTTATTCAGCAAATGACATCCAAAAAGCTCCTAAAAACTGTGAAGAATCTGTATCATTTTCGAACATATGTTATACTTAAGAAACGTATGAGCATTTAGATAAAAAGTAGAATAAAGTAATGAAAATATATCATGTTAATGAAGTTGTAAGGATTATGTTAATTTTATTAATAGTTAAAATTTGAGTTAAACTTCCTTTCCTATCGATTCTTAATTTCAACTTGCCCCTTCCGGCTAGAACGTAGTTTTAGAATCACGTCTGAATGCTAATGAGGAAGAGCGGTATTTAACCACGAAGGTCTACAGCCTTAAGTGAGAGAGACACCAGATATTCTGGCTGCACGTGTCCGCCTTTATAGGCTACTCTCTCGTAAACTATTATTACGCTCGGCCGTACTTTAGGCCCTTGATAGCTTTACAGTCAATTAGCGTTAAGGGGCCAACTCTGTTAGAATTATGATAGCTTCGGCTATATCTCTTTAGTTAAGATTAGTTTAGTTTGATTTTTAGTCTCTTAAGTTCAAGCCCAAGTGTCGGCTTTATTGTACAACTCCAAGACGGAGTTCTGTTAAATCTTATCTGAATAATAAAGGGTTTTTTAACCCTTCCCAAGTTACTTATTGTCTCACGAACTCAAGCGATTATTCGCTTACTCTTAAGATTCTTCACTTTTAACTATAATTTAAATTTACACACTGGAGAATCCTACTGATATTTTTTCGTTCTTGGTCAGTACATTCATTATTCCTAATACAGCTTGTATATTCTGGGTAGTAAGGTTTAATCTTACTGAACGTCAAAACTTTTAATAGAGGCTTTTCTTTTAGCAATTTAGACTTTTGTTACGGTATTTTCTTCATTCTCTTCACAGATGTAGCTGGTATAGGCCCAACATTTGTGGTTTATGGATTCGTATGTTATGCTGCAGCTGTATTCGTTTTCTTTTGTGTACCTGAAACGAAGAGCAAGACTCTTGAAGAAATCAACAAAGATCTAAGTAAAGGGTAACAGTATTTTTCTTTAATACGTTTATAGTGCCTATGCAATATTATTGACTGCATCATTGAGCATATAATGGCTATGCAGGGTATTTCTAAACATTATTAAATATCACTTAAATGTTTGGTAGTCCGTGGCTTCAATTTAAAAAGTGAATCAAGCAGTAAAGGCTTTCAAGCTACAATAAAATGTGGTAATGTGTTATCGTTTAATAAATTTATACGAAGCTTAAATTTTTATACCCGTCCCATACGAAAAACAAAGCGTCAATGAAAGAAGAATTTTCCATGCGTAAATTAACCAAACAAAAAATCTATGATTCATATAATTAAAATAACTGGAGGTGTCATTAAAACTTTTGGAACCTGTATTCAAATACAACAAAATGTAATTATACAAGGTGTTTCCAAATTCAACCGACCTATTCAGAGAGGAGATAATAGGCATTAAGAGAATGAAGTATAGCCATAGAACAGAGAGTAGCAAATCATGTTTAGTGGGAGAAGGTCGCAAAAATATTTATGAAGGGTATGACGTTGAATGGAGCAAAAGGGACCAATAATAATTAGAAAACATATATTTGACGTAAAGCAGGGTTACAGTGCATCACAGCTCAACGTCAGAAAGGAAGCGACGAGACAGTTTTATAGGAATTGTTCGAAGCTGCGGCCGCTAAGGTCATTGCACAGTCACCATCGACTGACGAAGGATTCAAACACACAGTGCGATCCGAACAGATAATCTCCAAACATTCCTGGTCAGATTTTAATATTGAACTTCTGTTGTACTTTCGACTAGACAGTGGAGATTTTCGGACGACCACATATGCGCACTGTGCATGTTGACCACGCCTTCTGTCTTAATGCAGGCTTCAGTTGAGAATAAAACAGTGGCAGGAAACTGTGAACCATTCCGTGTGACAACCAAGCATCCAAAGTACGAACTCTACCCGAAGGGAGTAGTCGGCATCGCTTAGGAGTTGCACGTCTGCACGTAGAAAGGCGTGCATGTTTTCTGCATGTAGAACTTTCCACACCATTTTATGACGAATACCCAGTTCAGCTGCAACCGATCGTGTGCTGGTCGATAGGGAAAATGCTAATCGTTGCAATACTCGGTTTTCTGTTTCAGGTGTAAGCACACTGCTTTCTTGCCCTGCATTACGCCTCGTTATTTGGGAGGATCCCGTCTTCCGCAGCCTTTGATTGATGTTCGTGAGGTGGTATGGTGCGAACAACGCCTCCTAGGATATTGCTATTTGTACATCCTCTATGTATATGTCCATTGCCACTTGCTCGGCGGCAAATTAGATGCATATCCGTATATTCCTCGTTCATGTGATCTGGCATATTGTTTCCGAATGAAATGTAACACCTGCGAATTCTGCAGTGTACACTAATGAATACTTGCTGGCTGCTTTTATTTTCCTCATAGGTATTAGAAATTTGGATTAAAAAAAAAAGGTTTTCTCTCCACCGCAGTGCTCCTAATCGTCGCATCTGTTTGGCCACTCACTTCGTCAGACTCACGGTCCTCTAAACATCCTATTTTCACCCGCTGAATGCGGTTTGCGACCCCATGTTCTTTGGTCATTTCCCTGCTCTTTATGGCTACTCTTATTCCTCTCAATTAGTCAATGAAATTCGGAAACACCCTGTACACGTTAAGTTTAGGAATGCAGATTTCTCAAAGATATATTTTACGACTCTGGTTTCAAATTAACATTCGTAAGAATGCAAAATGTCTTTCCTTCTGTGAAAGTGCTTTAATTTAGGTCAGTTTTTTCCGCGCCGATTTTGAATATTATTGACCTTTTATTTAATATAAGTTCTTGAGTAGGGGGGGGACTTATCAAATCTTTACCTCAGAAAGCCAATCAAATCTTTACCTCAGAAAGCCAATCAAACCGTTCATAGATATAATGAAGTTTTGTCCAAAATTTTACTGAAAGATATTATGTGATCGAAATTGCTATAGTCGAAAACTGTACTTTATTTGATTCATTTTAAAATTTGAACCATGAGTCTAATGACTTAATATAGAAGAAATATTTGTTAGCGCAATCTTTTAAAATAAATTTTATTGTTAAATATCAAAAATATATAAAGTTAAATATGTTGTTCGAGTGTTACTCAGTGTATCATAGATGATTATTTCAAAAATCTGGTAAATTCTTAGGAGTGAATTGATAAAAATTTTATTACAAAAAAAATGGAAATACGCAATCTAAGCGAGTTCTTATTAAAGAATATGAAAGCAATACCCAGTATGATATATCGTTTCAAAATACAGTCAAACCTCGTTATGAGATCATCTGGGTATAAGGATATGGCAGCTTATAATGTCAATTTTTAAAACTGGCAGCCAAATACATGCAGTTTCAACGTTAACGTTATTCTATATGTATCAAATTTCTAAAATCAATATTGTTTATAGACTCAGTCTAATTTTCAGGCTTAAGGTACTTTCACTGAAACTTTAAGCTTTTTTCATGAAGTTTTCTACCTACTGAAATAATCTTTTTACAGCTGACTGCTGTTTTTTATTGAAAACCCTTCTGCTTTTATTTTGATAGTTCGCCAGACCTCTTCGCGCAAGAACATGATTTGTGAGAAGTATGGTAAAATGCCAAAGTGTAGTTTTCAAGTCAAATTCTTAAAATTTAGAAGCTGGAAATAAATTACATAACTCCTACGGACTGACTAGGGATTTCAGCACCAGTTTTCATTAGCTGCTGATTACAGCTTCATCATTAATTTCTCTTTAAAAATACATAATCAAAGATTAAAAAAATGGTTTTCATAGTTACCCAAGTATAACGATGACATCGTATTGACATAGCAATCTCGTAGCTCACGACGTTGCAAAGATGTCGCAGTATGCCGTCTTTAAGACGCTCAGATGTCCGCGAAAATCCAGTATTTTGAGACCATTGTAGACGTCACGGATCACGAATCATCACTTTACTACTAACTTCAACTACTATGAGATTTTATTAGTCGATTTAATTTCTTGCCTGAAAGCCAATCACAGTAATTTTTTTAATTATGGTGCAATCGCACCTTACACTCGGAGGCGGCGCTGTTATTTCGGCAAATCTAAGTTCGTAAATTCAAAATGTTCTTATCAGCGAGTGAGTTGAGAACGGCGGTCTTAAGTTCTTGAAATTCAGTTCGTAATTTATATATACACTTGTAGAGTCACAAGGAATTTTGATACCTTATACACTATTTACACAATCGTCTAGATATACAGAATTTCGAAGGCGATTTCTTGGTCACGTGACGTAAACCAGCTAATGGGAAAGTAACAGATTTCACACGCCTTCATATAGCACATTTTCATCGCAAAAACTTAGGCAACGACGTCATGTCGCGCCGTTTTAGTGACGCATTATTGCCTTCCAAATTTACCTTTTTTGGACTACTTTAAAGGCGTCGTTACAACGTCTTTTTATAAATATAAGTCCGTTTTAAAAAAATTTACACTTACTAAATTTCTCAAATTCTTCTTCCACTCTTATTTTCTCCTAAAGTTCTTTTTCCCATTCTTTCTAAAATCCTGAAACTGGTCTACTTATTTCGCTTTCATATTTGTGTAAAACTGTATATTTTAAAAACAAGTGGGTTAAAATAGAGTACTGAATTGAATAAAAGCTACTAAATGATGCAATCTGATACGCTACTGGCATAACAGATTTATATCCCGGATAATTGTTTACTGCTCGATTTAATCTATTTTTAAGAAACTAAATTGAGAAAGATGTGCTATGATTAAATCACTTCCTCTTTTTTAACAATTTACTATAATAAAAGTGAAGGAAATAGTTTTATATATCAGTGTATATGCTAAATTAAATATTTTGCCCGTATATATATATATATATATACACTATATATATATATATATACACACACATATATATATATACACTGTATATATATATCAGTATGATATATATATATATACACTGGTGTGCAAAAATTAAGGACGAGACGGTTTTTCAATATAACTTTGTACAAAAGCTTCCAAATCAACGCATTTAATGCCGTAAGATCCCCAATACGTAAGGACATGAGTAATGTAAGCAACACTTACTAAAAGAGAAATCAGAGGGAAAAAGAAGCTTTATTGAAAAAGTAGCATGGAGCGCAATGCGACTGAAGGCCGAAACATCCCTGATGGGTGTACAGCAGAAACATCCGGTCTTTAATAGTTGATATGATCTCCCCTGACTGCTAGGCAGTTTCACAGCGTCTCCCCATGTTGAGAATGAGGGTGTCAATGAGTTGTTGAGGCATTGCTGCCCATTCGTCTTGCAGCGCCAATCGAAGCTCCGGAATCGTTACTGGTGGTAAGGTACGAGCTGCAAGCGTCTGCCTAGAAATGCCATACATGCTCGAGGGATTGAGATCCGAGATCGTCCGGCCAATCCATACGTTCAATATCCTCACTCTCTAAGAGCTGTTCGGCAGCTACTGTGCGATGACTGGTGCACTGTCGTCATGAAAAGGAACTCGGACCCATAGCGCCTCTAAAAACGACGCACATATGGAAGAAGAATCTCGTTCAATAACGGGTCCCGTTGACTGAACCTGCGTCGAAGATGTGAAGGTATGTACGATACCAAGCATGATGCCTCCCCAAAACGAACCGCCACCTCCATACCTGTCCCTTTCAATGATGTTCGAGGGTGATTGCGGTTCCCGCTCTCTCAGATGAGTATGCGATGAGAATCGCTACTCAGACTGAATCTGCTTCTCATCTGTAAAGAGTACTCGTCCCATTCCTTGTCATCCGTTCCGGTGTTCCCGGCACCTCAGAGAACGCGTTCTCCGATGGGAAGGCGTTAGAGGTACACACCGTACAGGGCGTCGTGCAAACAGACACCACCGTGCAGTCTTCTGGCACGGAAAAAGCGATATCGGTCGTCCAGTCGCCTGTGTCGTGTGTCTAGCGATTTCTCCCATGTCTGCGCCTGTTTCTTCTGGCCTGTAAGGCAATATACCGGTCATCTGCGGTGTGGTTCCTCGTGGACGACCACTACTAAACCCCCGGATAGCTGTTCCGTAGTTTGAAATTGTCTCAAAGTCGTGAAACGATGCTGTGAGTAATTCCGATTCTGCAGCCACACTGTCACACTGCGGCCTTCCTCCAACTTCCCAATGATTCGACCTCGGTTAAAGCATCCAGATGTCGTTAACAGATTGATTATTCGCCATTTCTCGCTGAGGTAGCAACTCGGTGTGATTTTAACTGCTATACGGCGTGAAATCTCTTTGCCAGAAATACTGATCTTACACCGACAAACATGCTTTTACTACTCAGACACTCCCCCTTACGTCTACTGCATATCTGCGCATGTGCTACCGTACATCACCTTACTTAATCTCCTGATTGGTCTTTCTGTCCGCTCTGCCTCTTCGTTCAGCTGATATGCTAATTTTTCGACTTCGTCCTTAATTTTTGCACACCAGTGTATATATAAATGCACTAAGAAATAAAATCGCTATATAATACAAATATTACAAATATTTGTATATATATATGCATTTAATATATACAGATAAGGATTAAATTTTACGTTGTATCAAACTTTACGTATTTAAGCAAACATTATTCAACTTTCCTTTTTTTCTTTTTTCCTTTTAACATTATTCAACTAACATTTCTATATAATTTCAACGATGTGTCATTTTTATCACTGTATGAATGACATGCTATCTAAAACTTTTGTACCCTTTGAGATTCAGCATTTCACTTATTAGTGGCAAATGTTTGCACGAGAAACAAGTCTTCTGGTTCTGAATTTTTGAATATTCATTTCCATATATTATAGGATAGAAGGGTGTACCCAGAATTAGTTGACGAGAGATTTCCCAAATTCATTATATTTTTTTTTCTTTTTGTACATGTTTCCAGGTTTTTATCATAGATATATATATATGGAAAATATGAGAAAAATATTTTGTTCCCTAAAACATTTGGCATTAATTGTCATCTGAAATTCAGAATGGTCTAATTCTCTCCCTCCTTCAATAATTTCTTAGCACCGAATATAATATTTAGATAAAATGCTGTGCACTCATTTTTTACGAACCGAGAGTAGCATTTGCTGAAGATAGCTCTTATTAGCTAATCAGTATGTAAAGTAAAAATGGAACTACATAATTCGCTAACTTTAAAGCATTTACTGTTATGTAACAGTAAAGGCTTTTAATGTACTTTTAAAGCATTTACTACTTATAAATTGATTAATAAAACTTAAGCATCATATTAAACATTTTTAGATGAAACGTTTAAAATTAGTTTAGAATTTATAACAATCAATAGAACTATAACTAATATTTACTATATATTTCTAATACATGTAAGCTAATCTATGATATTTGTTTAGTAAATTCAAATTTAGAATGATAATTATCACAAATTCTTAATTCCATTATTATAATACCCTTTAAATATTCCCAAAAAACTTTACATAAAAAAAAAAAAAAAAAAGCTTCGAAGGAGTTCTTATAGAATTCCCTAATAGATATAAGAAAGAATAAAGCAGAAATTTTAGAATATGTTCACAAGACCAAAAAAAGGAAATTCATATTAATAATTCAAAAAAATTTCAAATATTCATTAAAGGTTAGAGAATTTTAAAAATGTTAAAACCAAAACTTTTCAAACAAGCAATACCCCGATTCAAATTTAACGAATTTAAAGAAAAATGAACAACAGAAAAAGAATTCAATCAACTTCAATGCAACTTCGTCAAAGATGTTTAAAAGCAAAAATTTTGATTGAAATTTTCATTAAAATATTTTATTTTTTTCACTTACGTTTTTAATTCTTTAAATAAAATAGAATTCTCTTTATTTAAGGTTCAGAATTCTAATTAGAATTTACTTTTTTTCTTCCTTGCTTTGGGGAAGGGCCAGAATTTTCGGGTGACCTATTATAATTAAAATACATTGGAATGGTTCATCGGCTAATTCTGAATACAGAAAAGGAAGGATTTTTGCTTAGAAGAGAGATTTCAGTGTTCCTCTCCCCTACGATGGCATTGAAAATAATTGAATTCATTCTGTTATGTAATTTCTTTAAATTTCATTAATTTTTAATGGGTTATTGCTTGTTTGAAACGTTTTGGTTTTTAACATTTTTTAAATCTTTGTAACATTTAAGGATTATTTGAAATTAAAGAAATCAGGAGAATAATCAGGGTAAAGCATTTGGATTATGAATCATTTTTTGGCCTTTGTGAAAAATTAGTCTAAATTTTCTTATTTATGTCTTTATGATAATTTTTTTCAGCAGCTTAATGCGCAAAATTCTAGGCATTTATATTTTTTTTTGAAAAATTGTTTTGTAATGATATCTATATATTAATCTTAATACTTTCCAAAGTTATCCAAAAATGTCAGTTTTCAAAGTTATAAAAAGCCCAAGTTACAAAACGCAAACAATGGAATATGAACTAGAAAAGGTAAAAGTAATACAAATTTTGCACAAAAATTAAATCAAATATAAAAACTATTAATAGGAAGCCGAAATAAACAGAAGCTAATAAGGCAAAATTTTGGAACTGTATTTCATTGCCTTAATTTTGTTCTTTATCGAGAGGACGATAAAAATTAATAAAGTTCTAAATTTTCCAATGTCATTGAAGCTCAAAACAACATTTCTGAAAGCTATGGAATGTCCAATATAAATCGGAAAATTTTCAAACTTAATAATTAAAAATTAAAAACATTTAGACAGAAATATAGCTATGGTCGAATAATCGGCATTAAAACCAATAATCGGCGGTATTGTAATGGTAATTTTTCAAAGAACCGGATATTAGATCAGAGATGAACGGCATGTGTACCCAACTAGCAATCCAGGTGCTGGCGCAATATGACGATGAAGAATGCAAGCTTCTAAAATTTGTCCCTATTGGTGTCTTCGCGCAGAGACACGGCAATCGTAATACTATAAGTAAATTCGGAATTCTTTAGAGACGACAACGTTACGTTATTAACGCATCAATGTGCATTATTGAATGCATCATTGTAGGTTCTGATTCCTGTGCTGTAGCTCCATGTTCAAGCCGAAGCAATAGTCGCCTTGCTATCCGTATAAATGCAGACATCCTCGCACCATACGTACGGATTCTTGAGTCTTTGTAACGGATTCAAGTTTCCTGTCCCAGGTTACGTATTTGGCTTTACGATCCCTATGAGCAATGCGGAAAAGATTACGATCCTCTCGAGCATTGTTGTGTGTGCGTTGTTGAGCAGTAACCAAGACGAGTAGCAATTGCATACTACGATAATCCGATAATCTAAGATTCTCCGGATACTGAATTCACAGATATGCTAGTATGAGTTCCATTTTCTTGGACGAAGCACATCACGACCCACAGCGCAAGAAACAACGAGTAAACGCAATTTCTAATCAAATGTCGGCATTTTGGTTTGCCTTTTTAGACTGCGTTAAGGTGTCATTACTCTTGACTGTAATGTATGTATCCCAAAAACGCTGATTATTAGCATATGATAGTCTGCTTTACGTTTCATCCAATTTCAGGTTTGTTGCGGTATTTGATGGTGTAGCAGTTTTAATGGCCAACACTTTAATACGAAAAGAAATGATGATAAAAATTTTATTGTTATTGAAGTAATCTTTCTGTCCATAATTCCGTTATTTTTTTCCTTTATTAGGTTTCTACAAAAGGATATCAAGGCATGTGCATTTCCTTATAGTCATAGAAAATATTCCTTAAAGACTTTCGCATCTGAATCCAAGACATCAGGAGTAAAGCATGAAGCAAAAAGTTACAAATATTTAAACGAAAATTCGTTAGATTTCTTTATGTAAAATCTGCTTTGCGTCATACCTGTTTCGTTTATATGAAATATATTATTAATCATTTGTAATTGAAAGAAATCTGGATTTTACAAGGATTTACAACAAAAAAATCAGCTGTTTTATTTTTTCAACATTTAGGATCAACCTGTGAGAATAAGCATCACAAATTACACTGAACAATAACATTTAACATATTGTTTTGTGGTAGGAAAATCTGCGGAATGGTCTACTTGATTAAAACTGTAGAGTCCATTTTTGTTTGCAATGTGTTGTCATTATATACACAAACATTG